CTGAAGCATTACTGGTTCACATCCTGGCCTGACCAGAAGACACCCGACCGGGCCCCCCCACTCCTGCACCTGGTGCGGGAGGTGGAGAAGGATGCCCAGCAGGAGGGGCCCCACTGTGCCCCCATCATCGTCCACTGCAGGTGGGTCCTCCCAGCCACCCATGGGCGGGGCAGTCTCCCACCCCAGGGCTGCCCAGCACTCACCCGCCTGTCCCCTCGGCCCTTAGTGCAGGGATTGGAAGGACCGGCTGTTTCATCGCCACCAGCATCTGCTGCCAGCAGCTGCGGCATGAGGGCGTGGTGGACATCCTGAAGACCACGTGCCAGCTCCTGCAGGACAGGTCAGCCCCTGCGGGGTGGGCCTGTGGGGCAGCAGGGGGAGCCTGGCACACGCTGGGGAGCGGGTGAGCCCTCTGGGTATGGACTGATGGCAGACAGCAGTGGGGAGGCCGGCAGGTAGAGGGCAGGGCTGGACGGTTGTGGCTGGGTGAAGAGGGAGGAGAAACAAAGCCGGGGCACAGGAAGAGTGGTGGGACATGTCACCCATGCCCTGGTGCCTGAAGGGCAGAGGACAATGGCTGGGGGGGGGGGGGGACCCTAACTACACAAGGACAAGGCCCCCATCGTGTCATGAATGATAGTGCTCTGTGGATTTGAGGCACCACCACTCCCGCCCCGCCCCCTGCACCCTCCCCCGGCACCCTACCTGCATCTCTGCCTGCAGGGGCGGCATGATCCAGACCTGCGAGCAGTACCAGTTCGTGCACCACGTCATGAGCCTCTATGAGAAGCAGCTGTCCCGCCGGTCCCCAGAGTGACCACCCCGGGCACCACCCAGCCTGAGTCTGGGCCCTGCCTGGGGTCCTGCACCTGCTCCCTACCCCTACCCCTGCCCCTGCCCTTCCGCTTCCTTCCCTGCAGTCTGCTCCCACTCGCCTCCCTCTGGTAGCCTGGACCTGCCCCCTGGTCCCTGGCCCCTGCCGCCAGCATAGCTCTTCCTACTGTACATACTGGGGAGTGGGTGGGGGAGGGATGTGCAGGCCAGGCCGGGGCCCCAGTGCCTGACCCACGCCACGCGGACCGGGGCCTCATTTTAACGGTGGTTCCATCGCTACGTGATCCAATCATTTCCAGGCCACGCTCCAGGCGTCCTGCCCCAGCTGTTCTGTCTGTCCTTCATCTCTGCTGTCTGTACCGGACACTGTGTCTCCTCGGCCGGGAAAGGGGTAATGAGCCCCAGCCCCTAAGCAGCCCAGGCAGAGGTGTCAGCCTCAGCCACCACCCCCACTTCTCCCATTGGGCAGATAGCATCTTGCCTCCCCCCCCACCACCATTGCAGCCATAATGAGGGAGGCCCTGAGGACCTAGAGGGCAGGCATGGGGAGAGCCCCTGAGGGGCTGGCAGAGGGCTCAGCTGGAGGAAAGCCACCAGAGGGGGGAACATGCTCTCCAGCTGCCCTCAGAGAGGTCCTCCCAGGGGCACGTCCTGCCCATCTGCAGAACAGGGAGCTGGGGCTGCAGGAGTGGGAAGGGTGACCTTGGCATCAGGTGCCTGCAGGGACAGTGAAGAAAAAAGGGGGTGGGGAACCAGAGATCTGGGCCCTGGTGGGGGGCAGGGGAAGGGAGTTCCGAGGGGGGGTGGGGACTCAGCCCCAGCTCTGCGTGAGACATTTTTCTGTCACTGTGGGAACGCCTTCCCAGAAGTCTCGCTGTGTGTCGCTCTGCGTGTCCCCGTGTCCACGCGTGTGTTGAGCGCCCATCAGCAGGGCATGCATGACTCTTTGGCAACGTGTTATCTTGGAGCCGCGTGTTTTTATTGCTGACTTTAAATATTTCTTCCACGGCAGACAGACATTTGGTGTCTTTTTATAATTCGCTCGTGGTCATTGAATAGAGCAATAAACGGAGCATTTTGAGCAAAACTAGCCTCGTGAGTCTGTGTGGTTTGCCTCCCCCCACCCCACCCCTGCCTCCCTGTACCTCTTCTCCCCCTTTACCTATTGCTTTGCTTCCTAAGTGCCCCAAGCTCAGCTCCCAGACTCTCTGGCACCCCTTGTGGAGACTGGGAGTATGTCGCAAGTTCAAATTTGAAAAGTCAAAACAGGGGCCAGCAGGTGCCATGATGGTTTAGGTGTTGGACTCCCACATGTTCAGCCACGGTTCAAGTCCCAGATCTGGTGGCTTGCTTTCTCACTTTCCCTCTCCCTCTCTTTCTGTTTTTCTCTCCTCAAATTAAATAATAATAATTAATAAAATTAAATACTTTTTAAAAAGAAAAGTCAAAATAAATCCATTCCACAGGATTCTCAAGCACCTCAGCCCAGCCAGGTATCCTGGGCCAGAAGCCTCAAGGACAGATGTGGAAAGGGAAGGTGAAGACCACAGCCTCGACAGACGGACTAGAAAGGCCAGGGCTGGGGCCTCTTACTCCGTGTTCACCCCCAGATCCCAGCAGCAGCTGCAGCCTGGAGAATTCCCTTAAAAGGCCCGGGCTGAGAGGAGCCCCTCCCCAGGGGCCCGAGGAATCTGCCTGGGCTCAGGTCCTGAGCCATCCTAGACACTCCTGCCCTATTCTTATCCTCTGTCCCCCTGGGATGGAGCAAAAGTAGCTGTGATGCCACTGCTGGCTTGGAAGATACCGGAACCTGAGATGGGTTCAAGGTCCAGGTGTGGGAATGCCGCCGAGGACAAGGAGCAAACAGAAGTGGCCGCAGGGGCTCAGGTCGAGGGTCCAGAGGAGAGGAGCGTGCTCTCCAGCTGCCCTCAGAGAGATCCCCCAGGAGGATGGGTCCTCCTACCCTCTACTCAAAATACGGAGATCAGGCTGTAGGAATGGGAGGGGGGCGAGAGCTAATGCTCCCCCCACCCCCCGCGGGGTGGCCTCGTGTGCCTGTCAGGCTGTGCATGAACCACGTAGGCTATGCTGTCAAAAGCAGCCCCTGGACGTGTGCAGAGTGGCAGACCCAGGCCCTCCCCAGCTCACCCCCTCCAGTTCCTGGAAAACAAGACCTATTGCTCTTCTTCCTGAGCTTCTTGGACCATGCGAGCCCCTGTACCTAGCTGTGTGGACACGTGCACACACTACCCTGAGCCCTCAGCTCAGAGAGCTCCTACCCACCTCAGAACAAAATTTCTACCACAAGGGAACAGGAAAAATGCCCCTGGACTGCCACCCCAGCTGCCTCTGCCTGATCCCCAGTGTATCTTCCAGTCTTGGA